TTTTAAAAGCATCCGGTACAAGTATTTCCATGAAACGCTTACAATGTTCATCTTGATCAGCAGTACCTACAAGAATACAATATATTAATACTCATATGAAGATAGTTTAATCTATCCTAAACTGTACCTTCTTTCGCCAGTTTGGTGGCAAAAGCTAGACATTTTGCAAGTGATTCATCTTTTTTGTATGGTATTGACCATTGTTCACAAAATACTTTTGTTTCAAGATCGAGATATGTTCTGATTGGAAAATGTGATGCGTCCTCCAGAATATCTATATTTGATGATGTATTCATGTTGTTGGACGATGAGGATTGTCTCTAAAGTTAAAAAACGTATGGATATGTTTCGGCGTTTTCGTTTTGATGTACACATTCTAGAAACCTCATGAGTGAATGAATAAGAATTTTTGCGTTTTCTCGAACGAAGTTTTTGTTTGAGAGCCATTGTATGCAAGCCACGACCTATGATAGCGGACAGGCTTTATTCGATCTTCTCAAAGCTTTTCCAAACTAGGGGACTCTTGTAGACTAAACGTTTTAATGAAATTTCGTAAAAGGCGCAAATCAAAAAGTTGTATCATTGCTGAGATATTGAAATTTTACAAAAAGCTCCGAAAAACGTGAATTCCGCCATCTTGAAAATTTGAAACTTTAAGCTCTTGTAATTCAGTAACAACAGATTACTTAACCTTGAAGATTTTTCCGTAAATAGTAGATGGTGTGAACTACAAAACCACGCAACCGTGAGCTCAAAACATGCCTTCGTTATTTTGTAATCTGATATCTGACCATGTTTGAACGTGATATCTGATTTCCATTGAGCCCCAGGCTGGCACTCAGTGGCTTCGAGTAGCCTTGACAGCGGAAGAGTAACATACCGTGAGGGCCCAAAAAAGCCTAGTCGTTTTTATTTTGTTTAGTACTGTTACAGTATGACTTCTTACGTATGATATAAAAGAACAAGAAAGAAAGAAGTCATACTGTAACAGTACTAAACAAAATAAAAACGACTAGGCTTTTTTGGGCCCTCACGGTAAAATAAACGTTGTCATCAGATTTAGCATGGTCCACTATGTACTTCTCTTCTTCTTTCAAGGCCACTCGAAGCCACTGAGTGCCAGTCGGCTTTTATGAAATTTTAATATACTATAGCAGCCATGCATTGATTAAAGCAAGCCTCTAGAACTCGGTGCTGCCGACCGAGCCTCCGAAGCTATTTTAGCGAAATTCATTGAATTGAATAAATTCAACCAACCACGAAATCAGATACCACGTCCAAATCACTCAAAATCAAAGTCTCACTTCACTCCCATTTTGAAGAGGACACTTTAGGCTACTTACTCATAAAAAAACAATATATGGCTACTTTATCGCTTAGAGTTACGAAACTGTTTTTTAGAGATCTCATAGAAAACCGATCATTGAGAAATACTTTCAACTTTGTTTTAGTTATAAAAAGAGAGCTTAAAGTCTTGGCTATCGAATCGCAAAAATCACAAGTTTCTATCGCCTTTCGTTCTCGAGTTATTCTAAAACCACTGACCGACATATGAAAACCCATCAGAAGGGAACCTATTAGAGGTACTCTTGGTGGAACTCGCACATAGGACCGCATTAACAGTAGAATTAACTTGGTGCTGTATTACCACTGAATTCCTTGTGAAAAGTTGCATATCAAACTGGTTTTTATGAAATTTTAATATACTATAGCAGACATACATCGATTGAAGCAAGCCTCTAGAACTCGGTGCTCCCGACCGAGCCTCCGAAGCCGTTTTAGCAAAATCTACAAATCGGAGAATGGGCTTTGATAGTACACCTGGTGTACTCCAGCAGTATACTAGGGGGCTTCAGGATGGTCCCGTTTCCATGGAGTAAATCATTCTTCAAAATCGCCTAAAATGGTCATTTTTGCGCAAAATTGCAGCTTTCAAATCTCTGTATTGGAAACGAAAGCACCGGAGACCGTCAAATTTTTACCACATATGCTCTGGCATATAATCTATTTGGAAATATGGCTGACAGTCAACTTTGTTTCAAAAAAATTTAAGCTAATTAGTATAAAAGTGGACGCAATTTGGAACGAGTAAATTTCTATGATTCTGCGTTTCCAAATTGCGACCACTTTTTAATTAGTGAGTAATCAACAATCGTAATTTAAAATATAGACATATGAATTAGAAAAAATAGAAGTAGAAACATATATAAGAAGAATTGATGACTATATATTTATATATTATATACAAAACAGCTATATCAATAAAGAATTTAATCTTCGTCACTACTATCCCTGGCATCTTTTATAACATCTATATACCGATAAGAAAGAGCCCTTAAAACTTTTTGATACCTATCAAAGTCTTTATCTTCAATATATTTTGTTTTTGCTAATTTAAGCTCAAATCATCACGTATGTTTTTTATTTTTCGTGGTCTTGTTGTACGTTTTTGAGCTTGTTCTTGTTCATAACGATACATAACAGATTCTTCGGATGAACGAACTCCATCAGTCCATGTCCAGAGATCCAGATTCGTTCGCACGCGTGCATTTAGTTGTCTATGATAACCTTCTACGTGATTATTTGTACGCGGTCGTTCATCAATTGAGTCAAAATGATTCCACATATCAAATGAAAAACGAGCATCTTCAGTATAATTATTTAAAATATAATCTGTTAATTTATCAAATTTTGAATCAGCATTACATAGTTCATCAATTATTACTTCCATACAATGATTAATTTGGTCTTTTGGTACTAATGGTAAACTTATAATATTAGCTATCTGACGACGAATATTTTCTTGTTTTGCTAATTTTACCAAACCATATTTTTTAACTTTTCCATACATTCTGAGTGTAGTGAAAATGACAACCCTTAACTAATGTTTGTGGAAATACATCATTAATTGCATTAAGAGCAGCTTTTTCAGAATCTATTAATATCGACGATGGACTTAAAACAATATTTTTTTGTGCTGCGTAGCCAACTAATGACCGAAGTAAACAAGTATAACCGTTCTGATATTTACCTTCACAACATGCATATACTATTGGTTTCATACTATATTCATCCCATATATGTATGTAATAATGGCTAAATAATGCTGGCGATGTACGAAATGTCTCATCAGCACTCCAATGATGATTTTCACTTCAAAGTTTTATTGCTGATTCTGATCCAAATGCTATAACTTTATGTGGTATTGACGAATTACAAAATAATAATTCGTGTTTAGAATCATTATAATACATATCTTGTGGAATTACAATAGATGATAGCTAGATTGGAGGTAATATTGTTTTACGAATAGCATATAAAGTTGATTTCCATGCATCGAAAACTGGCACCGTAGCAGCTGTACCATTTTCACGGCGCTAAAAAAAGACAGAAGCAATCACCTACTGGTCAAGCTATAACTACACCGTTAAAGAGCAGGAACAAATACTCACAAACTTTACTTCTTCGTCGTAAATCTTGGGTATTGGTTTATCGGCATCAGTCAATACGCGCCGTTTCAATCCAGTTCATACAATTTGAACATTATCAGGTAATTTTGGATCATGATTATGATTTGTGGCAATGGATTTTGTAATTGCATCATTTTTCAAAGTAATAGTATAATAACAGGATTTGAAAGTACAGACGTATAGTGATGAGCCGTTCTGATTTACACGTTTTAAGTGATATAAGTAATTATTATACAAAATTGCTGTTTCACCTCTTTGAGTTTTTGACCAAGTAAAGTTTTGTATCCATTGTTTTAAATAAAGTGTGACCTTCCTTTCCATGCTTCTATATTTATATTATCAATGAGACACAACTCGTGATTAAATTTTGCAACGCCTAATCGTGCTATTAAACATTCTTTTGCGAGAACTAATCATTAGGATATGTTTTACTGATTTTGATTTATTCTGACGTTCGTATATAGTCAACAATTCTTCTTATATATGTTTCTACTTCTGTTTTTTCTAAAAAGCGACTAATTCATATATCTATATTTAAATTACGATTATTGATTACTCACTAATTAAAAAGTGGTCGCAATTTGGAAACGCAGAATCATACAAATTTACTCGTTCCAAATTGCGTCCACTTTTATACTAATTAGCTTAAATTTCGGCCGCATTTAGGAAGCTACGAAAGAATATATTTGTCAAATTGCGTTGACACTAATTCGTTGAAAAAAACAAAAAGTATTCAGTGAAAACTATCTAGAATATTAAAAGAATGAGTAAGCAACAATAAAGATTTTCATCTTGACTAGAAATACATAGTAAAAAGTTTGTTATATTTAGAGAAGCAAAGACTTTTTCATAGTTTTTTAAT